TATTGATGCAATTGATGGGTTATTAATAATTAGTATGTCATAAAGCAGTTTTGCTACATGTGCAGTAGATTATTGAAGATTTTCGGAATAAATATCAATGATTTATAGCCATGTTAAGGACTGTTCATTAAAGAAAGTGGACACCTGTTTATCAATGGTTTAGGGTTAAAACGTAACGAAAAATTGTGAATTTCTGCTCAATTTTGTTTTATGACTGCCAGCAACGACAGCAGGCTGTACTTGTGAACAAACATCACATTTATTTTTGCTGTTCTAATTTTTTTTCTCTACTTGGGTGCTGTTCGAGTGATTTTTTTTTGGTGGATATCAAGACTTTGGCTCTACAACTAGAAGTCAAGCAAATAGAAACCTGAAGTTTGTGAAGTGTGAATCTGAACCATGAAGTCTGACCAGTGATTATTAAAATTTGATGGATCTGCTGTGATTTTTTGTCTAGGCTGGTTCCACATTTCCTTTGTGGTTCGTCTTCATGAGGGCTGTACTGCAATGGCTGCTTCTGAGCCCCGGGCAGCGTGTATTTTTACAAGTGGCTTTGAAACCAAGGTGGAGCCTCAAACGAACTCGTGACTTCCCAATATTATGATGGAGGTGTGGTGGTTCGCTGAACCAATCAAAGGAGAACATTGAACCGGAATGGCTATTTGTTGGTTCCTGTCAAGAAGTGGATCATCTAAAATTGAGATTGCTACGCTGAAAAGTGGCATAGTATCTTGTTGCAGACTTGGTGAGATCGTTCTTGTTTATCGTTTTTTGTCAGTTTGTACTTTGTTTCCGTGAATCCATGTTTGAGGTTGATCGTGTACCCACGGAGGCGTGACGTTTGGTTTTTTCCGTGGAGTTTTTGTTTATCTATAATCGATTGCCTAAATTCCGTCTCAATGTCATCTAAAATCCATCTTAATTTAGTACAAGATCCGTTTCAATTTAATATAAATTCCGTCTCAAGGTAGTCTAAATTCCATTTCAATTTCGTCTGAATTTCGTCTAATTTCCGTACCAATTTCGTCTAGATTCCGTCTGAAGTTCTTGTCACTTCCATCTCAATTTCGTCTGAATTTCTTCTAAATTCCATCTAAATGCCGTCTCATATCTGTCTAAATTCTATCTAATCTCCGAATCAATGTAGTCTGAATTCCGTCTCAATTCCATCTCATACTCCATCGTCTGAATTTCTTCGCAATTCCGTTTGAAATTCGTCTAAATTTCGTGTCAATTTCGTCTCAATTTCGCCTAAATTCCATCTTAAATTACGTGTTAATGTCGCCTAAATTACATCTCAATTCCACCTGACTTTTGTCTCAATTCCATCGCAATTCCGTCTAACTTCCGTTTCAATAACGTCTCAATGTCGTATCCATTCCTTCTTTAATCTATCCCAATTCCGTTTCAATTTTGTTTCAATTCTGTCTCAATTCTGTGTCAAATTCCATCTAAGTTCCACCTTATTTTATCTGAATTCCGGCTGAATTCCGTCTAAATTTCGTATAAGTTCCGTTTCAATTTTGCCAAAACTCCGTCGCAATGTCGTCTAAAATCCATCTCAATTTCGTATAAATTCCGTTTCAATTTCATATAAATTCCATCTCAATGTCGTCTAAATACCGTTTCAATTCCGTCGCAATTTCGTCTCAATTCCGTCTCAGGTTCGTGTCAACAAAAAATTGAACAGAAGCTGTTGTTCTATTATGTTTGTTAATTTTTTAGTGTCGAACGTGAAATTTTCACAAAAAGATTGCATTTTGCATAAGATTTTGAATGAAAAATAATCAAACAATATTGAAGAGGGTTGTTATTATATAAGTTTTAAAGACTTTGTTTTTATTTTTACGCAAAATTAAAAATAAAAAAATATCGGATACGCGATTTTGGAGTTTTTTGCGAGATTCAAAGTGGCCTAGATTCATGCAAATCAGGTCGGGTCTGAAATTCAATAAGTGTTTTGCCAACGTCTGAAATGCTCTTTTGCGTTTCAAGGTGGTCTTCGCATTTTGTACTATTTTTTAAAAACTTTTTAAACGATTTTTGGTTTTTATGGTCTATTTTTTTCATTATAGAATGTTCCAGAAAGTATAAGCACACCTTATTTTAACGGTCACTTTGAATATAATGAAATATTGCAACATGTTTTGGCTGCGTCCTTTTGTTTGCTCATTTCTGAATGACATAGCCAGGGCGTCACAATGTCAGCTTCAATCGACCAAATCGATGCGACGAAGAGACTGCTGGCTTTCTTTTTCTGTTAAAGTCGAACCGCTTCTCAGCATTCTAGAACCTCAGTCGGCGTGCACAAACAAATGTTCAATCGCTTGTCTCTCTTTCTCTCGTCGCTCCATTGGTCTTCCTTTCAAGCTTCGTCGAAACGGATGAGCGAAAGGGCGCTCAACTTTGATAGTTTTCTCTTTCATGAAACACATCAACAGAGGTTTCATGACGTATATGACGGAAAATGAAATAACACATTTAAAGCATTTCTCACGTCAAAACACTTGAAGATTACACGTCATATTTTTAATTTATCTTCCATCCATATATTTATCTAAAAAAAATGATCGAAAACGGGACATAACGCATTTTAAACAAATTGAAAGAGCGGTGATAGAGTGTTCGTGAAAGGGGATTGAAAGCCATAATGAGCTTCGTTTAACTAGAAAATCGACGTTAGTTACATTGAAAGCGATGAGCAAAGCAACGACGAGAAGTTCCACAGCCAGCCTTTCCTTCTAAGCGTCCTGCTTTTTTATTTTCGTTTCTTGCTGACAGTCTAGCTAGGCGTTATAGAAATGAAGTGTCGAACACGTATGTATGAGAGAAACAAAACACGAGTTCATTTTAGAGCTTCGAAATTGTAGAGCCCTGGACATAGCATCAAAAAAGTGCTCAGTTTTGTGTTTCCTGTCAAAATATGTGGTCTTACTCCGTAACAACGAAAAAGTATCGTGCACAAATGGTGCACTGTGAGCGGACTCTCCTTGAGAAAATTGGCCAAGGAAGAGGGTGTAAGCGTCCGAGCGGTACGAACTGCGATTAAAAAATATAGAGAACAGTGTACGTTTGAAGATGCACCGAAGAGTGGCCGGAAATCCGGTCCTGTAAGTCCGGATATCGATAAAAAGATCAGGGATGCGAAACGAAAACCAGCGACTTCCGTTCGGGATGTTGCGAAAAAACTAGGGACCTCGTCGAGTAACGTCATGTTGCCAAAGAAAGACTTGGGCTAAAAACATACCGGAAGCAGAAAAAAACCAAAAGGAACCCAAAACAGGCCGCGTCCGTGAAACCACGGGCCCGCAATCTCTACGATTCGTTATTGTGTCGAAATTCTGGGTGTATAATAATGGACGACGAAACGTACGTGAAACTAGATTACAAAACGCTTCCTGGACCACAATTTTATACTGTAAGCGAAGGCAAGGACATCCCTGAAACGGAGAAGGCAATTTTTACCAAAAAATTCGGTAAGAAGGTTATGGTTTGGCAGGCAATATGCGAGTGTGGTAAAACATCTAGTCCGTACATCACAACGGAGACGATGAACACTCAGAAATACGTTAAGGAATGTCTCCAGACGCGATTGGTGCCGATGATCAGGCAGCACGAAGGTCAAGCAGTATTTTGGCCTGATTTGGCGTCATGTCATTACGCAAAGGACACTTTAGAATGGTACAAAAGTCAAAATGTATGTTTCGTGCCGAAAGACATGAATCCGCTGAACTGCCCGGAGGCACGGCCAATCGAGACTTTTTGGGCTTTAACCAAAGCAAAGCTTCAAAAATTAATAAAACCAGCGGACGACATCCAAAAATTCAAAAAAATATGGGCCAAAAGTGATCAAAATGGTGGGAAGTACCACTGTGCAGAAGCTAATGGGTCATGTTCGAGGAAAAGTTAGGAGTCTTGGCTATGATTAAATATGTTGATTAAACGAGAGTAAAATATCATTTGAAATACAAATACAAGTATGATTTGCCAAATAAAATTATTAAAACTTAAAAAAACATGACTTTTTTGTTATTTTGAAAGTGTGCTTATACTTTCTGGAACAGTCTATATATCTCGATTACTTTTTCGAAGGGATGTATCAGCTTTGGCAAACAATGCATTTTATCGTCGATTTGGAGTAACTGGTAGCTCGCCCACGCATGCTAACACTACCATTCCCTATCAGTATGCGTGGGCGAGCTACCAGTTACGACAAACTGACTGATTGTTTACAAAAGCTGATACGTCCCTTCGAAAAAGTAATCGAGATATGTTATTTATTTAACACATTTTATATAATTCGTGACACGTCGGGGGGAATGACATTTAAACTCGTGACGTTTAGCGCGAGAGGCATGGATGATAACCACTACGCCCCCGAGTTTCAAGGTGATTTGAGTCTAACCATACCTGTTTTCGTTATTGGTGGAATATGAGTTTATGGAATTTTTCAAAGTGCGTCGCAATCAACAGAAGTTTGAGAACGGATGATCTAGAGTGCAAAGAGACGGTAAGGTACGGTAAGTGCTCGCCGTGATTTTTATCCATCCTTAATGATGACATACTTCAGAGCATAATTTAAAGCCAATTATCTGGTTCTTTTAAAATACTTAATAATAAAATTGTTACTCATATTAAACGATTGATTGGTGCATGGCGTTCGCTTTAGATTTACAAATCTTAAAATGCCAATAATGTTGAAAGCCCGAAAAACAATAAGTTGGTATATAATACAAAACTCAAATAGTGTTCAAAGTATGTTTTGATTCAGATTGACTGTGGCTCCTTATGGAACATACCTTCTGAGTTGGCACAATGCTCAATTAAACATCAGTTACCAGCAAAATAATATATAACTCACAACTGCTATTCATATCAAGTCACCTAAATTTACCCACAGCACAATAGGCACTCAACCCTGATGGAAAAGATTGATGCCCCAAATCAATTCAATCCTCCTCTACAACCCTACCCGCACAGGATATAGCAACACAACTTACCGATAATGTTGGTAAAGGACGATTTCCCACTGCCTCCACCGGGAGCACCTCCACCCGGTTGATTCTGCTGTGCCGCATCGAAATTCCCCAACTCGTGGATGGTGGCTTCCGCTTCGCAGAGCAAGTTGTTCAGATGCAATCCTACGTTGTTGTTGGCCGCTTGAACTAATTGAGACGGGACGGGACGAGAACGAGAACGAAGAGAGAAAAAAAAATGTCCGTGAAGTCATGTTTGGTTCTTGGGAAAGCTCGCCAATTATGATAACAAGTCTTTCGAAATTCAGTGGGCCACAAGCCGGCAGGACCTGCTTGGGAAGCTGACTCCTAAGGGCTAATAGTTAAACTTGTAGTGTTTCGCCCTAGTTTGGAGGGTGTGGTTTTTTCCCGACTGCCACTTTTAATTATCAAACTTAATTAAAAACTAATTTATCTCCAGGGAAATTTGAGTGGCATTCTTCAATGCCGACAAGCAGCGTCGACAACGACGACAACGACGACGCGTATTCTACACACATAAGGTGAATAGGGACTTGAGAGAACGCCCTCAAGCATCTCATTAATTGCGGGACCGTCGTCGTCGTCGTCGTCGCTGCTGTCCGAGGAATATAATATCACACGCGGCACACGTAGTGGCGGCAGTCAGTATTTTTTGGATTTCACTTACTGGTGTGGGCATTCTCGATGGCACCTTGCTGCAGGAGCATCTTCGTCATCGGGCGGTTGTTGCTCAGTACGGCAACGTCCAGTGGCGACAGGCCATCGCTGTTTAGGCTGTTGACATCGACGTCCGTACTTTCGAGGATCGTACGGGCCTTCTCCAGGTGACCGTGTTCGACCGCGGCAAAAAGGGCTGCAATTAGAGGAAAAAAAATGAGCAAGAGTCATTCGGTGTCCAAGTTTATTGATTTCACTTGTGCCCAACTAGATACAGGAGAATGCAGTGTTGTGTATTGGATTTGCATAAGTCTATTTGAGGTGAACTTTGATTTTCAATCAAACAATCCTCTCCGACCGTACAAATAACCAATACTGGAAAACCGATACTGAATATCATGTATGGCGTGTCCAGCTAGTAGAGAGGAATGTTTGACTTCTGCAGGTGATCCGAACAAATGTAGAAGCAGACAGGACCAAACTTTTTTTATACGGGGCTAAAATAAAACCCATATACTTTCAACCGAAAGCGCCAACTCGGGCCCAATTCTGGGGGGTGCCCGATGAAAAAGTTAAAAGAAAATCTTCCCATATAAATTTGCACCAGTCTAATGTCGCAGAAAACAAACGGAACAAGAGCTACAAGTACGAAAGTGCTTTGTATCGCATTGAGGTTGGATTTAATTTTAATTGAAATCAAATCAATTTCTGACGCGAAGAGGGGGATCAAATTCAGAATGTCCTCACTTGAAGTTTATCTGTTGGAGTTGGGGAGCATGTTTTAAGTACCTATTAAATGAAACAAATCTTGTGACGAAATTGAAGAAATTCTACACCCTGAAGGCAGATACATCATTGAAACGAAAAGCGCGTTGACGAGGAATTGGAATTCATATAATTGTTTTGAATTGTTTATTACTTTAATGGGTACATCACGTAGGTTTCGTATTTCTTTAATCTCTTTTCAAATGTATTTGATCATTACATTTTTCGCCAAATGCAAGGTATATGATGTGAAATGTTTTATGTAGAACTAAGCAGATATTAATTTCATTCTGGTTGATAAACAACTTCTTCTTCCTCATATTTCAAGCTTATTGCATATCGCATATTAGGTTTTTACGTGCTCTCAACTAAATTTTTTAGATGCACTTCCACAGTTATTAATTGAGCGTCACACTTTTAATTTGTCAAAAATATTCATAAAAATACTTTTAATTTGTACATCTACTCTTGAATACTTGTTTCAGATAAGATTAGGACTACCCCAATATTTTGTTCTGGCGTTTCTCGTTTTGTTCGATTACCTAATCATGTATCTTTAGAACTTAAAGTGAATCATAGCCAGACAAGGACATACTTAGACATAAATCAACAAGCAAACATCTGCGGTTGATTTTGCAAGCTGTGCAGCGTTGCCAGGTCATTTTCATAAAAATCTGGACAACTTAAAATATAAAATCTGGAAAAATCTGGAAGGCTCCAAAAAATCCTGTTTTAACATAATGCTATTTAAATCAAAGGGATGTGCCAATCTCCCGTTCTCAATTTCTCATGAAAGTTATCTTCAAGAGAATTTTAAAACTCTTTAAGACGAATGTTTTATAGCTGAATGTGTTGCCTGTATCTCTTCTAATAAAAAAGATACACCCAAATATAGTAAAAAATATGAATAAATTCAATTTGATTTTATACGAGTTTAAAAAATAACATACCTCCAATTTTCTTCATATTATTGAGAATAACATACGCCCTTTCAAATGCCGTAAAAAACTTTTCTTTTTGTTTGCCCCAACCAGAGATATTAACATTTGAAAAGTGCATATTTTTAGTATAAAAACGTCAATAACTCTTGATCGGCGAAAGATATTGACAAACTTTGTGCAGCAAAAATTTGCGCCTTCTTAAGATCTAAATGTTATCCGAAGACACTTTTGCTGAAAAATTCGAAAAAAAGAAAACAAGAGCAAAAAAACTGTTTTTTTCAAGAGCCACCCTAATTCAATTCAAGAAAATAGCTCTAAATCGGCCAATTTAAGAGATACAAAAAAGTTGTTTTCTACAAAGTTACTTAAAATTAGCTTAGCTATAACTTTGCCGAAGAATGTATACCTTATTTTATTCAAACAAAAAAGTTAGATTTTTGATTTTAATGATAATAGGAACCACCCTAGAATTCATTGTCATAAAAATGATGGCATAACTATAAGAAACAACTTTGAACAAGAGATTTTTAGTCTAAAGTTTCAATTTCAGGCTCAAAACATATCATTCCACCTAAATCTGCATTCTGGAACACAGTGCAGTGTGCCCAAAAAGTTTGAATATCCATTACGAAGTATTTCAAAAATTGAGTTAAATCGTTGGTAAAATAATGCAGAAAATATTTTAAGAATTGCTTTTTAAACTGTAACTTTTTATTTAAAAAAATGAAAAGCAAAGAATCAAGCAACTTTGATGGGATGGATTTTTTAAACTAATAGTCGATGTAGTCCTTGTTTTTTGATGCAGTACCATAATATGTCTTAAAGATTTTAATAGTTATCAATAATTCTAATATTACCCTGAGGTTGATCAGACTTACAATGTAATTCTTGGCAGTAGGCAATTTTATTTTAAAGTTAAATTCACCATGCTGAAGTGAAAATCAAAGCCTAAATTCGTGGTATTCACACACAGTTTACCTAAACTACAGGTTACTCAACTGTTTGCATTACCATTACGAATAATTTTATTATATAACTAAAATGAAAGTCTGAAAGCGGAATTTATATATTTCCTGGGTCCCAGATCATGAAACTTTGTGTCAGTCTGAATTTACATGGAACTCTTTACAGGATATCTTCGTCCTTTTTTTCAGAGTTCCATTTGAATCATCCTAGAATTCCATCATACTTCTTTTCTGGATTTCCCTAAAATAATCTTGATAATATCCAAACGTTTTCAGTAACATTCTAAGAATTCTCTTGTTATCTCTTATAAATCACTCTCCGATTCCACAACTCCCTCAAACTATCAATAATTTCCAAGAATTGGCGTTATTTTGTTTTCATCTTTCTCTATGAAATTCCATTAGAATAATCTTAATAATTTTCTTGGCACAGTCTTCAGAATGACCGTCACACTAATCTCAGACTCATCCGATCTTTCCCTCTGAGCTGCTTGGTAGGTAAGGTCAGAATTGTTTTTGATATCCTTTTCAATATTTGCTAAGTACTCAAATACTTTGCCAAAATGGCATTGAAAGTCTCCCATAAATTGCCAGATGTTCTTTTGGCATAATTCCGATTAAATTATGTAAAGGTTAAAAAAAGAATCTCCATAGAAACATTGAACAGAATTCCATTGAAAATATTATCACGATTCGTATCAGCATACTCCTTAAGTTTCATCATAAGAACTTTCTTTGATTTCTCTTCCGAATTCTATTTCCATTCTTCACAATATATCCATGCAATTGTCATCAGAGTTTTTAAAAGACAACTGACACTGTCTTCAAACAGAGGTTGCACAGACTGAAAACTTAACACTAGAAACCTGACAACACATCACACCCAGTAGACCAGTAGGGAAATTTTCAGGTTGCGAAAAGCTCCACTGGCTGGAGCGAGAATCGAACCCTCACTTCGTGGAACTCAGAATACGCCTGAAGGACGGGTGACACCGCACGACCACGAAGCTTACAATGATGGATGGAACTCTACTCAGAATTAACTTGAAATTCTCCTTTGGTTTCGCAAAGAATTTACCGCACACTTCACTGTAAACTATTTTCAACATTACCTTAAAATTCTGAAATTCTAGGGCAATTCAGAATTCTTAATAAATTCAGACTGCTGTAACCAGGCATGGAAAATCATTTGCATTCATTTCGTTCATTCATTTACATTCATTTGCTCTTAACTTTTTTCACCAACAGAATTCCGCAAAATGATGTATGAAACTTTTGTAGGTTTTATTATTAGCTACAACTTTTGTCAACAACTCAAATCCGAATCCCTTATGTATGACGAACCAGAGCGAACAGAAGCCACTACTGTTTTTCAGTGAATGTATTTTACATTCACTGAAAAACAGTAACAAGTTCTGCCCGCTCTAATTCGTGATGCATAAGAGATACGGATTTGAGTTACGGAAAAAAATTGTAGCTAATAACAAAACCTCCTAAAGCTCTATGCATCATTTTGCGGATTGCTGTTGAAGAAAAAAGTTATAGGCAAATCAATGTAAATGATTGCATGAAATGAATGTAAATGATTTTCCATGCCTGACTGTAACTCAATATTCACAGGTACTTTAAAAAAATGCTAAAAATTATCAGATGCCTTTCAAATTTTCCTTATGAATCATCCTCAAAAACCTCACAAACATACTTCAAAGTGGTTGGTGGTGGTTGGTTGCATTCAAAAGCCTTGCTAATTTTCCAAGGCTGAATTTATTGTCCAACCCTGAACAGTTTTCGATTTATCTAAATTAAAAAATTATGAAAATTCCTCCGCAGTGAAATTTTGATTTTTTTTTTAAATATAGAAAATAAATAAAAATTTCAATTAAACAAACATTCAGGACCACTATTTTTATAAGTTTGAAGATTTTTTTCAGCGAATAATCTTTAGAAAATGATTCTGCAACCCATTAACATACAAACATGTTGTAACAATTCCATGTACGATGCTGTAATAATTTCCAACGTTGATGGCCTTTAATAATTAAAGAAGCAGTTTTTATTTTTTTGATTAGAGTGTAAATCAACTGCAGTGATATTTTTAAAGCAACATGTTTGAAAAATTTGGGAAAATCTGGAACATATTTTAAAAATCTGGAAATATACGTGATCTGTCTGTTTATCTGGCCAGATGACCGAAAATATGGAATGCTGGCAACGCTGGCTGTGATATCTCAGCTCCGAATATCAAGCTAACAAAACTCACCAACTGCAAATCTCACCAAACTGTGGTGAGATTGAGTTTAACGATTTTCTTTTCACCCGAATGGAACCGAAACTTCCATAATGGCTGGCAGCAGTCCCTTCGTGTCTGCCATATCGGTGAAGATTAAAAAGAGATAGCAAACTATACTTTCTCTTTCTAAGAAAACGATGTGAAACGGGATCATTTTTTGTGTCTGGCAATATCAAAGGAGCTTGTAAAATCAATATCAAGCATGATATTTTGTTCCAATATCACGCGTGATATT